ATATAAAGTTATAAAACTCAAGTCTCTTTGCAATCTTTTTTCTTTCAACTTCTCATTCTCTCCATTTCTATTGAATGTTTAAACCAACTTCCCATTCTCCCATTCTCTCCATTTTAATATTCAATTCGTTACTGTGATGTTGATTTTAGAAGAAAAAAAAACACAAGAGAAACAATTGGCGTTGAATTTATTATACTCGTCAATCAAGTTTTATTGTTATTTACTCTCTTGATCATCAAGTTTTATTGTTCCTCACTCTCAATCTTAAACTCTTGATTGCAAATATTTAGTACATTTGTGTCTAAAAATGTGAATCATGTAATGTTTAAATAATGTTTGTATATTTTTCTTCTTTTGATATTAATTTTTAATGATATTTGATGTGAAAATATAACTTTTTATGTATTTAACGAATTCTTTTTTATACAAATCAATATACAAAGAACCGGAGATCAGAAAATTTTAGGGCCCCACTTCAAAGACTCGCCTAAGGCCCCCAAATTCTCAGGGCCGGCCTTGTTGCCAATATATGGAACATGCTTGTTATTTGGTTACCAAGAAAGTGAAATATATTGCTACTTTAGTTGCCTATTTGGATATTGGAATACATTTTTACCTACTCATTGATTACTAGGTTCAATTATGTGGGAATATGCATTTCTGCATTTTGGATTGCATCTGATGCAATTGTTCATAATTTAGCCGCCAAAACCCATAAAGAAATAGGAATTAAAAAAAGAAATTTTGGCGGGAAATTTTTGAAATTTCAAATTTTGGCCACGTGGGCACTTTTTGCTGAGTTGGCATGACGTGGCAGCTGGATATCCATGTGTGCAAGTTTTAGAGGGAGTGAGCTGACGTGTAACAGGGTCAACTAATGCCACATCAACATTTAACAGACTAATGGATAGAAAATCTAACAGAGGTATTATTTTGAAATAAAATGGTACGTGAGGTATGAAAGTGAAATGTTTTAAAGTTGTTGTATGAGTTTGTAATAGACCTCAAACCTAAGGGATTACTATGTAATTTACCCAATATTATAAATCACATACAGTAATAACAAATATTTCGACTTTTTTTATTAGTTTGAAGCACACTATTTATAAAGATTGATAAAGCTCTATGAATCATAAATATTGACATTTTTTTTCCAAACCATGGTTGGTTTGAAACCCCACATCTAAACAGATTGTGAGTTTTTGTGAATGGAGGCAGTAGATCCAATGGAGGCAAACCTCTTGCTTTCAATGCAGATGCCAAAGCTAGGTTATCTTCAACCCTCTGATCTCCCTTGAACTAAACCACACTGCAAGTACCAGCTGACATCTCCAAAATTATATTTTTTTCACCAACCAGCAAAGCCCGGCACCAATTTTTTCCTATCTTAAACATATGTTATACCGTATGGAGATATATTATCCTTCTCTTCTCTCTTTCTTTCTCTATCTCTCTCTCTTTAAGAGCACATCAGTACATCACCATGTATAACCTGAACTAACTCAATGCCTGCTTTGAGTAAATCCAAAATCTCACTTGCATACAAAGTACAACAATCCAACAAAGAAGATCGTAAGAAAATCGTAAAACTCACCTAACTCAATACTTAGTTTGAGTAAATCCAAAATCTCACTTGCATACAAAGTACAACCATCCAAAAACAGAAAAGCTTCTTTTGACCATACACACACACACACACACACACACACACACAAAATAAGGACACGAATGTCAAGCACGGCGTTCGGCCACATGATACTTATTTTGTGTGTGTATATACCCACATGACATTCAAGGTTTCCATTCCATCCATCATATAAATCAGTTTTCAACATGATACTTCCATCCACATCATGTAACATATCAAATAACCAATGAAGCACAATATTATTCTCAAGCCAAATTGATCAACTAAAATAATAATAATAATAATAATCATCTCCAACGTCATTCCACAATCCCGTCAATTAATCAATTCATGAATCAAAGATGCATGATTTTAACATTTAACTACGTTAATCAATCAATGAGATAACATATCATTTCATGAATTTAATTAAGGAACTCTATATAATTCCCTACTTGGATTATGAGTAATAACATGGTAAATCTAATTTATATTCACAAGGTCTATTGTGGGTAATTCTCATTCACTCGAATCTAGGGTTCTAGACTAACCTTATGGAAATGAGCAAGAACAAGGATTCCAGACCACTCAACGAAACCAAAATATCAAGCGGTTTCTCATAATCTACCATGACCTGTCACATGTATAATCAGTGCCTACATCATAGGAATGGTGCACTGGGCAAATCAGAACTCAGATAAGCTGCAAAGCTCGGGTGAGTGATAATAATACAAGTATGTGATATTCAATAAAAAGAAAGGCCATCGATCACAGTTTATAAATCTCAAATATAAGTTTATATTTATGAAATCATAGTCAAGTCACTAAAAACTCCGAAGGAGTCACCCAAACATCCAACGACTTTTCTAATTCAAACCACAAATATTCTCAAAAACTATCGTTCATAAACCAAGCCTACATAAGTAACCAAATAGGAAGGGGCCCTCTATAGCGGATTAACCAAGCAGAGCCATCCCTGAGTAACCATGTAGGTAGTGACCTCCCATCGTAGATTAACCAAGTAGAGTCATTCCTACGAATCTGTTAGGCAGTGATCACCCATCGCGGATTAACCAAGCATGATCAACCCTAAGTATGTATGGCCATAAGGATCGCCCATCGCGGATTAACCAAGTAGGACCATGGTCCCCTATCGCGAATTAACCAAGCAAGACCACTAGTGACCCCCTGTCGCGGAATTAACCAAGCAGGGTCATAGGCAGTGATCACTTATCACGGATTAACCAGGCATGATCACTCATAAGTATATATGGTCATAAGGATCACCCATCGCGGATTAACCAAGCGCGATCCATAAATAGTACGAATTAACCAAGTAGGACCATTCATGTACCACTACAACATGGTGCAGACTCGGTGTCACCTAACCCCGTCACACTAGGGTAACGGTCCCTTACTAGCCCTCAGGTTTAACAAACTTTTCAATATGCACTTCAATCACTTTTTCACAAATATTTCCAATCCATGAATCAAACCACATTTAATAAAAATAGATCGAGGGCCAATTATAAAAATATATTTTAATAGAAAACACATTTATAAACCAAGTCATATCCACAAAGGATAGTAATATAAGAAAACAGTGTAATAACCATATCACATATATTAAAGTCACTTACCGAGACAAGTCCGCAAAGTCGCACTAAGTCTTTAGTAATACTAATTTTAGTAATTCAAATGGTTCAAGACATGTTGACCAAAAGTCAACTCTCAGTCAACAATGGGGTCCAAGCCCTAGCAATTTAATCCTAATATCCACACATCATATTTCGGACCTGTAACTTCCTAAGGTTCACATTATACTCATAGAACAACATACTAAAATCTCATCACAATCTGACGGTCGAATCTCCGCCAATCTCAAATTCAAGTGGCGGTCAACAATTAGTTTTACAAACTTATAAATCCAATTCGAGAACATCTGTACGTCGGATTCCCAATCCGCTAGTTCCTACTATCCTCAATTATTATTTACTATTACACATTTAGTTTGGTACCAATCCAACGGTCGGATCGTCAATTCATATAATAACCTTGTGGTGGTCAACTAGGTGGTCAACTACGAAACTATACTAAAACATCAAAATTCCACTAAACGGATGTCAACTATGGAATTGGGACATCCAAATTAGCCTAGAATGGTCAGGTGGAGTCTCGGCCCACGTGCCGCCGCATGCGGCAGACGGCTGCTTTGACTCGCCAGAAAATTCAACTATTTCTAAAATTTACCAAATTTCACAAAAATGTAGATCTCGATGAGTGGAGAAAGTTTCATACCTGTGACTAAGCCCAATTTGGCCCGAAAAAGCTTCAATTTCCCTCGAACATGTCGGAAACCTTAAAAAGGGTGTGCTTCAATCCGTTACTTCCGGTGCTCCATCGCCCCCAAACCTGCTTGTGTTTTGTTCCTAAGGTTGAGGGAATCCTTTTGGTGGTAGTGGTTGATGGAGTTACCTTTGGATTTGATAGATCACCGGTCCCCGAAGCCCGTCGCACCCACCGGTGCATTTCTCCACAATCCCGAACCCAATCTCCTCGGATTTGGTGTGGAGATGGTAGAGAAAGGGTCAAGATGATGATTGGGAGTGGTAGATCGGCCCAATTCGTCGAAAAATGATGAATTTCACCGGAGAAACTAATGGGTCACAATTAGGTCGCGGGTCAAGGGGAACCGAGGTTCCCCTCATTCTCCTCATTTCTCCTTTCCCTTTCTTTCCCTCTTTCTCATTGGCCGCTCCTTCCTCTCCCCTCTCCTAATTGGCCCCTCTGTTTCCCCATATCTCTCATTTTCATCTCAACCGTCATTTTCTATCTTTTCTCTTTTTTTCCTTTCATCCCAGTCACACAAGTGGCACATCTCATGGCTCTAGAAAATCTGGAGAATTCTAAATGAGGGTACAAAAATGTTCCTAACTTTAAACGTTAATAACTCTTTTGTTATAGATCCATTTCACGAACAGTTTGTGCCTACGTGTTCATGTGATCGAGCTCTATTCAAAAATATAAATTGTGACCTTGAAAGGTCTACGGATTTTAGATAATTAATTTCCAAACTTCAAACTTCGTAGCTAGTTTAATTAAAATCTAAATTCAAATAAATTAATATAAATTCTCGAAAAATAATATAAAATCTCAATAATGTAAATACGTAGATTATAACAGTGAAATCCAGGAATGGGATTTCACATCCAAGTGATAGATCAAATATATAACTATTACTATAACGCACTACCATTTCAAATTATCATGCCAAGAGAAGGAAAAGGAACATTGTGAGGTGAAAAATATAAATGAGAGCAAAGTAGAATTAACCATTTGATGTTCCTATTAATAATGTCTAAAAGAATGTCAATGTCCAGTGCATTCTTTCTAATAATTGACACAAAAGAAATAAATATACAGCCATGTTCATGTAATTCGAAGAGGAACAACCATATACCTGAGTTTTTTCAAATGATTGGTCGCCCTTTCCCCAAATCTCCTAAACATAAAATTCTCATGCGCTCATTTTTCCATGTTTTGCCTTGCTCCCATTCGGATCCTTCTCTTTCTTCTAGTTGGAGACTCTAATTCAAGTAAAATAAAACATTCAAACAACTCATCTCTCACTTGATTGATTGGTACCAAATGAAGGCCATTAATACTTATTTGTAATTTAATTAACAAAAAAATTAAAAATGCTTTCATGAATTTACAAATCGGTGAACAACAGTATGTTAATTAGTATTCTTGACAAATATATATCAGCTGCTTATCCAAGATATAATTCAATGTCGAATCGAAATCAATATTCATATGAACTAATTTAAACAATAAAAATAACGAACTGAATCATTTACCCAAGATATAAATTAACATCACCAACTCGCCTAAATTAAAAACTTACATTCGTGAAATATACAACCTAAAGACAAAGTATTCCCTGCAATTAATTCAAATGACATTGACAAAAAATTCCCAAAAAAATCAATATTCTTACAGCCACTACTATCATATTTTATAAACACACAAAACCCATCAAACAAAAAGAAGGGTTAAGAAAAATACTCACTAATCTGATTTCTCCAGAGCACCCGAGTAGCAGCAAATGGCTCCACACCGCGTGCTTCATGGCTTGAAGTAGCAACCCTTGAACCCTTTTCAATTCAACAGAAATTACAGCAACAAAAACCTACAAAAAAAGCTGTATAAGGTAATTAATAAATAAATAAATAAATATATATATACATATATATTTATATATAAAGAGAATCACCAAATTCAATTTTCAATCACTTCAAATTAGATCGAGAGAAAGTATATTGTCAAGATAAGACTCACTAGGAAACCCTAGCTTTTCTGGGTAACATTTTCTTCGAATTAAACTGAAATTTTGAAGAAGGTGAGAATCGTGACAGAGAATGAGAGAGAGAGAGAAGCAAAAGGAAAAGAAAAACGGAAAAGAAGTGGAAGCAGGAGCTCCAATGATGATCGAAATTAGGTCCCGAATTGAAAAAATAAAATGTGAGAGAGAGAGCGAGAGACGAACCTGATTCGCTTGCGGAAGCTAGGACTCCAGGCTTGAGGGAGAGCTCGAGAAATCTATGGAAGCAAATGGAAGAGCTCTGTTTTTCCCTTTCCTAGATGACCAACACGCGTAAATTCAGCCTCCTTCCCTTACCACCACGCGTCTAGCATGGGCAAAATCGGCAATTTACTACACGATCTAAAAGAATGCTAAAAATTGTGAAGAAAATAAGGGGCAAATCCGTCCAGATGGACATCCCTTTCCTTTTCTGGTCATATAACTTTCACTTTCAAGTTTGTTGGGAACATGTTTCGCCTTTCTCATCTGGCCTTGGCTTTAGGAGGTTTTTTTTGGAATGTGCTTGGTAGGACCCCCTTCAATTACTTGCATTAAGAGATTTAGGGGATCCCATTAAACCTGTGAAACATTCCACGTTTCTCGCTTAAGTTGGCAAAGCGCAAAGCCCAAACAAAGCAAACCTCCTTTTTTCATTTCGGCTGATTCAACCGAGATTGGGTTGCCTTTCCTTTGCTACACTATAGATCAACAGTAACCCAAAACTGGGTTTTAGAATATATAATTTCAAGCAGAAGACTCATTCTTGGTGTGTTTGAGAAAACTACGTAACGCAAACTTGGAATTTGGAGAGGTCAGAGCTCTAAGAATCGCACAAGGGATTATTTTTTTTTGAACTAATCGCACAAGGGATTTAGCAAATACTAATTTAGAATAAATCTGTTTCTCGATTGACTTGATTTGTCTGACATGAAAAAAAAGCACAATAAATAAATAAATAAATAAAAAGTTAGAATAAATCTGGTTTTATTGCATTGTCTTGTATGAACATCTTAATTAATGGAATTGGAAAGTAACCGATGTGAAAATTCTATGGCGATAGCCGATAAGGAGTTTATAATCCGAAATTTTTTCAACAAACGGTATTATTTATACCAAAGAAAAAAAGGTAGGCTTAGCTTCAAAATTGGCTAGCAATAATATGATTCAAGTTTATATTTGACGACAATCAAATATAAGACATCTCATTTACAGATAAAGATGAATACCACTAGTACTAAGTGACATAATCTGAATTTTTTAAACGATAAAAATTTAAGTCAATCGATTTTTTTTTTTTTTTGGACAAACGATATTGTCTACATTAAGAGGGTGGGGGAATGAGCTAACCTTACAATGGGCTAGCAATAATGTGGTTCAAATTTGCTTTTGACGAGAATCGAACCTAAGACCTCTTACTTACAAGTGAAAAAGAATATTATCAGACTGTAATACTAAATGAAAAGTCAATTGTATTTTTAATTTAGAATGTTAACATGACCACCTACAAGATGAGGGAGGACATGAAAAAGGCTTCTCTTTTATTTTTGTTTACCCCTTTTTAAGAGAAAATAAGGGGAAATGGTTGGTACCTATTGTGTTTTCACAAAGGGGTTTTATTTATTTATTTTTACTATAGTGATTTCTGCAATCCTATTTTTTCCCTAAGCACTCCGTTATTCTGTTACGAACTTTCTTGGATACTTTGGATATTTTAGATCTTTGTTATAATTTTTTTTATTGAATATTAATAGATAGAGACACGGAGGCGAGGAGGCAGAAGGGAAGGATGGTAAAATTCATTAAAAGACAACATCCATCTCGGTCGTTTGTTCTTCATCTAATAGCTGTTTTGAAAGCAGAACAGATTAAACAAAACAAACAAAAAATCAACGAAAGCCATACGTCGGAAAATTAAACAAAAAAAATTCTCTCTCTCAGCATCCTTGCTTCACTCTTTTGTAACCCTTCATTTATCCGATGCATACCTCAATTATCTCTAACACAAATGAAAATCAACCAAAACAAAAAGCAAAGTGTATATAGTAGGCGATGAGGATAATGGCAAAGCATGCGATGACCACAAACATGCAGTGAGGGGTTTTTATTTTTCCATAGATGACCATAACCACGTCGTATGCATGATACTGAAATATGTTGCTTTTTTTTGGTCAACAGATATCTTGTATTTTTCATAGTCTACGAGATGTCATGTCTATTTCCTTCATAATTTGTATAGGGAATCATATAGATTTTTCAAACAAGGAGCTTGAGTAAGGTTTCAAATGTTCCTAAATGATAACATTATCCATCAAAATCTTATAAATTTTGAGGGGGAATCGTGTGTTTTTTCAAAACTAGATCCATCCTGAGGTTTCCTTTCTTTCACCCTATTGAGATGTTGGAGTAATGCTGAATGTGGGCCTAAAGCTTAGTTGAAAGGATAGTGATATTCATACATCTATTTTTACCTCCACATACTCTTGTTAATTTTTTGCTATTAGTCTTCTTCAATTCTAGATTCATTTTCATAAGGATTCGACGTAACTGAGGAGTGCCGGCTGTCGACTACCTGACGCCCTCCCCCTCCTCCTTTACCCGGGCTTGGGAACGGAGAATTAGATGGAGATCTCAACCATAGAATACAAGCTGGATGGATGAAGTGGAAGAGTGCATCCGACGTGTTGTGTGACCGCCGTCAGCCACTAAAGCTTAAGGGAAAATTTTATAGGATGGCAATAAGGTCGGCGATGCTGTATGGCACAGAATGTTGGGCGGTGAAGCATCAACACGTACACAAAATGGGTGTAGCGGAGATGAGGATGCTTCGTTGGATGTGTGGGCACACGAGAAAGGATAAGATTAGGAATGAGGATATCCGAGGTAAAGTAGGAGTAGCCGAAATTGTAGGAAAATTGAGAGAAAATCGGTTACGGTGGTTTGGACATGTGCAAAGAAAGCCTACTGACGTTCCGGTTAGAAGATGCGACTACGGGACAGAGGTTCATGGCCGAAGGGGTAGAGGAAGACCTAGGAAAACTTTGGAAGAAACTCTAAGAAAAGACTTAGAGTATTTGGATCTAACGGAGGACATGACACAGGACCGAGCACAATGACGTTCTAAGATTCATATAGCCGACCCCACTCAGTGAAGAAGGCTTTGGTGTATTTAACACAATACGTTGAAATGAAGCAAAGCTCATTTATTGATATCTCCGATAAGTTACAAATATGTACATATACATGAGTCAAAATAAACAAACAAGAGGGAGCCTTCACAAAGGTTGCTTAGGAGAAGTCTCAGCAGTCGGTAGAGCCCCAGAAAGAGAAGGCACCGGAGGGGGATCATTCGGAGCCTCAGTACTGGACAAAACCCTAGAAGGAGGAGGCATCGGAGGTTGATCATTTGGAGCTTCATTACGCGGTATAGCCCCAGAAGACGAAGGCAATAAATGCCTTTGGAACAAACCCACAAATCGCTAATGATCAAGTAAAACCTGACCATCAGATTCCTTCATATGGTCAAGCTTCCTCTTCATGTTTGTAGCATAGTCATGTGCGAGTCGGTGCAACTGTTTATTCTCATGCTTGAGCCCTCTAATCTCCTGTTTGAGACTCATTACTTCAGCCGCCAATGATTCAACTTGGCAGGTTCGAGCAAATAGGCGTTGGGCCATATTAGACACAGAACCTGCACACTGAACACTTAGAGCCAGAGAATCCTTAACAGCCAACTCATCAGACCGTTTGGAAAGTAGTCTGTTATCTTTAGGAGTGAGAAGGCTCCTGGCCACCACCGCAGCAGTTATATCATTCTTCATCACGAAATCCCCAACGGTAAGAGGACCAGTAGGGGATAAGAAGGATGGGCGCCATATGTTGTCTGGAGAAGGCGTGGTTGCCTCTTCAACAAGGTTCAAGTCAAAACGACGGTCGGAGGGGCCAGACATTTTCAAAGGTATTGAAGAGAGAAAAGGTCGGACAAATCAAGATCTTAGAAGTGCAAGAATGGAGCTTATACTGGTGAAGATTCAAGTGTGCTTTGGAACTTAATGCCAGCCTCTATAAAAATCTACACTCGACGGAGCTTCAGAAATCAAAGAGGCGCCTGCCCAGAAATCGAAGAGACGTTTGCTTTCTTAAAAGCTGGGCTGCTCAGAGACCACGAGGGCCGATCTCAGAAATCGAAGAGGCGTTTGCTTTCTCAAAAGCTGGGCTGCTCAAAGACCACGAAGGCAAATCTCAGAAATCGAAGAGGCGCTTGCTTTCTCAAAAGCTAGGCTGCTCAGAGACCACGAGGGCCGATCTCAGAAATCGAAAAGGCACCTGCTTTTCTCAGCCTTGTCAGCACCTGTCACATGCACACTCAGCTTTGTTGAAATTATAGGGCATTCTGTTGAAGATTTCTGGTGAAGTAGAAAGCACGTGAATCTTACTGTTTAATCATCCACTTTCCACATGCACCATCAGCTCATGGGTACCACATATAACTTTGCCAAAGATCTCTGACAAAGTTTAGACACGTGAAGCTTGCAGCTCCCACTACATCGCTATGACCAAGAAGGGTAAAAGAATAGCAAAGAAACAGTACTAACAAAGTTTAGACACATAAATTTTGAAGGTCTAGCTACCATATTATTACCCACAAAGGTAAAGGAACAGCACCACTGCTGGATAATTGGAAAGTCCCTATGTGTCAACCTCTGTGCTCCGTGGCAAGGTAGACTAGCAAACATGCCCAACTTTTACTTACATTCGAGAAAACACTCCCAACAAGATTGCTTGCTCCAAAATCGAAGAGGCACCGTCCTCCGAATCTCGAGAGCCAGACTCCCAACATGATTATTTTCTCAAAAATCGAAAAGACACTGCTCTCCGAATCTCGAGAGCCAGACTCTCAGCAGGATTGCTCTCTCAAAAATCAAAGAGGCACCATTCTCCGAATCTCGAGAGCCAGATCCCCGACAAGATTGCTTGTTCGAAAACCGAAGAGGCACCGCTTTCTCAACTTCGAGAGTCAGATCTCCTTGGATAAATCTTGTCTGTAATCTTCACACGCAACATCAGCTTTCCAGATACCACAGACCACTTTTTCAAAGTGCTCTGACACACGTGAAGCTGGCAGCTCCCACTACCGTGCTATGACCAAGTAGGGTAAAGGATAGCATTACTACCTGTTGTTAGGGAAACTCCTATATATGTCGACCTCCATCCTCAACGGACAGGCAAACCTGCAAAAATGCTCAACGCTTCCTCATATCTGAGAGGGCACT